CTAGGAACCGATCCCGCCCTTCTCGGTCTCGGCCCCTCTGTCCCCTGTCCGGGATGTCGTGGTCGGATATCTGCCCTGGGGCCACAGAAGCCACACATATCGGTGCTCGGCGCTGTGGTGTCCCAGGGTCTTGACACCCCAATACCCTGGCACCACTGTGCCCTGACAGCCAGATTCCCCTACACCCCTGTATCCTGCAACTCAAACTCAGTCTTCTTTTCCCACTGGGATGTGCCCCGGGCCACCTTGGCACCTTGGCACCCTGCCCTCAGTCGGCCTCACCACGCGCCCCATGGCCAGCCAGCACCTCCGGCACTTGCCCAGCCTTTTTTAGTGTCTGTCTGCTCACTCCTCACTGCTTCCTTGGGAATGTCTATAAATATCGAGGAACCAGCCCAGCTGCTCCCATCGCTCTGTCCATTGCTTGCCCAGTGTGCCCTGTTCCAGCACCCTGCACCCCACTCAGCTCAGATGGGACCCCTGAGCTTCCTTGGGCAGGGTGGGATGCACTAGGGGCTGGATTTGTTCCCAGTTCCCACCTGGTGAATGGGGGTCCCAGCAAAAGCAGAAGCCAGAAAACCCCTGGGTATCCCTGGCACTGGGACCTTATGGGACAGAGATTTGTCACCTTGTCCCCACGGCAGCCCTGGGGCTCTGAGCACCACAGGGTATGGGCCACTAGGCCAGTGTGTCCCCAGAGCCATGGGCCCCAGCCGGTCCTGGCAGCAGTGGCTGGCACGGGCTGTGAGTGTGAGGACTGAGCCTTCGAGGAGGCACCGGGCATAATTCCCACTCCTCAGAAGCACGAAAAAATGGAGCCATTTCCGGAACAGGTGCCAACAGCACTGGGGACCCCAAATCATGGGGCTCATGCTCCAAATCTCTCCAGGGACTTCATGCCCCAGGCCCCACAGGGGACCCCTTCCTTTTCGGGGGTAGGGGGCTGCAGCACTGCTCTGTCTGGGCCCCCTGGAGCAGAAAATGGGGGTGCAGGCGGGGGACGCTGTGTTGGGGAAACCCAGCTTCGTATTGGGAGCTTGGGCCAGGAAGGGCTGCATTTTCAGGGGCCGGTGGGTGATAGTCCATGCCCCTTGAGCAGGGGGGATCCCGTCCCCCTCACCCAGCTGATGCTAATGGCTCCAGGGCTATTTTTAACCCCCTCATTGCTGAGTTGCCTTGGATGGGGGTGTTGGGGGTGGGCAGAGCTGAGCTCCTGCCACAGCTTTGATCTCCCTCCTGAAGGGCTTGAATTTCCATCCCAGCCTCATCCCCATGTTAATCCCAGCCCTTGACCAATAAAGCTTTGGCTAAATTAGGTAAAGGCGCCAGTTGCCAGTGAGAGGGGCTGAGTGCTGCCAGAGCGCTGATAGGCTGAGGGGGCCAAGGGGCAGTAGCTGGAGGTACATCCCACAGAGGAGACACTACAAATTGGGGTGCCAGGGGCACCACGAAGCTTCTGGGAGTTCCTGCTGCAGGAGCCGGTGATTCTCTGGGGGTGGGAAGCTCCATAAATTCCCAAGATGGTGAGTGTTCCTGTGTGCTGTGTGCCGTGTGCCAGAAAGAGACCTGACTGGGCAGGGGGCACCAGGGGGGTCTGGGCTGTGCCTCTGCAGCAGAGGGGAGCAGGGATATGGTGCCCAGTGCTGGGCTGACCATGGCAGTGAGGGCAGCGAGGTGTTGGGGTGGTGCAGGGTCCCCACAGAACAGAACTGAGGGTGAGTGTGTGCTGCTGAGGGGGTGCAGGTGCCTGGGGACACCATCTCAGCCTTGTTGGGAGCTCAGGGCTGCACAGAGGCAGGGGCAGCAGGGGGTGGCTGAAAGCTGAGTGCTGGGTCATGCGACATGGCCTCGCTGCTGGCTCCATGGCCGGCCTGTGCCTCCAGGAGAAACTCGATCAGGGCTGACAGGTGCCATGGCTGTAGCCCCAACGATCCCTACAAGGGGAGCTGAGGAGTTCCCAAAAATAGCTCTGCATGCCCAGGATGCCAAGGCTGAACACAGGGACCGTGACCCCAGCACAATGGAGCCTCCCAGATAATGGGGGACTCAGGCAGGGGCTCCCTGCAGCCCTCCATGTTCATGGATGGCCTGGAAGGCATCAGAACTGTAGGGATTGCTGGTGTCTGTGGTTTATGCCAGCACAGGATCGTCCTGCAGCAGGGCAGAGGCTCTTCCCACAGCCAAGCACTGTTGAGCCATGTATGAGGGGTCTCTGGTCTGATATGGGTGACCCCTCTCCCTTGCCTTGCAGACGGACCAGCAGGCAGAAGCCCGTGCCTTCCTCAGCGAGGAGATGATTGCAGGTGAGTGTAGGGACAGCAGGGACAGGGGCCAGTCATGGCCATGGTGCAGGGCCTGGCTCTGCCCCACTGCTCAGAGACCTGACCTGTCTCTCCACAGAGTTCAAAGCCGCCTTCGACATGTTTGATGCTGACGGCGGTGGAGACATCAGCACCAAGGAGTTGGGGACAGTGATGAGAATGCTGGGCCAGAACCCCACCAAAGAGGAGTTGGATGCCATCATTGAGGAGGTGGACGAGGACGGTGAGCAGCCCTCGGTGGCTGGTGGCAGGGTGGGAGCTGGACCCTGGGCAGGTGGCCTGACCCACGCTTGGCTTCCTCCCCACAGGCAGCGGCACCATCGACTTCGAGGAGTTCTTGGTCATGATGGTGCGCCAGATGAAAGAGGATGCCAAAGGCAAGTCTGAGGAGGAGCTGGCCAACTGCTTCCGCATCTTTGACCGGTGAGTGTGGGGGCAAAGTGGCCCATCCTGTCTGTGGGAGCAAGCAAGGTCCCATCCCTCCCTCTCCCTCCTGCAGGAATGCGGATGGGTTCATTGACATCGAGGAGCTGGGTGAGATCCTGAGGGCCACCGGGGAGCCTGTCACTGATGAGGACATAGAGGACATGATGAAGGACTCAGACAAGAACAATGACGGTCGCATTGACTTTGATGGTGAGCAATGGCCCCAGCCAAGCACCCATGTTGTGCACCCAGGCAGAGCCATGGGCTGAGGCTGCTGTTCTCTTGCAGAGTTCCTGAAGATGATGGAGGGTGTGCAGTAAGGGACCAGACATTCCTCAGGCCAGCTGCTGCACCCAGCCCTGCTCCCCTGCTGTCCAGGGAGCAGCAGCTCCACAGCATCTGGCCCTCAGCACTGGCTGGGACCTCGCTCTGTGCCAGGGTCCTGGTCTCACCTCACCACCGGCGGCTGAGCTTTTCCTCCCATCTGTCACCTGTGGCTTTGATTCCAGCCTCAATTAAAGAGGAAAGGCTTGAGCTGCTGGTACAGGATTTCACTGGGGGTGCATGGGGAGGGGGGCTGTGGCAGTGTGTCCCTGCTCTGCTCCCCAGAGAGGGAACGTGGGCGGGCTCGCACCACAGGCAGTGCTACAGGGGCAGCCCGGAGTTGTGGTTCCCACGGCCTCTTGGGCAGGCGCCAGTGCTGAGCTCAGAGTTTCCGTGCAGAGCAGCTCGTTCACACGCCAGAGGCTGAGAGAGGATGGCCCTGAGGGTCCTGCACCAGGGCAGGGCTGGGGGACCACCGGAGCTTAGAGAGCCCCACACTGGGACCCACATCTCCCACCCAGAGGACCTGGCTATAAGGTGGTAGGGCAGGAGAGCCCCTTCCCTACAGGGGAAAGGTGACACTTGTCTCTGTGTCTCTCTTTGAAGGGGCTGTGCCAGCCTGCTGGAAACCACAGCTCCTTGGGGACCGGCAGGGGTGGAGCACAGCAGGGGGATGAGGCGGGGTGCAGTCCCCAGCCAGGGTGGGTGGGACCACCGAACCAAAACACAGCTCAGAGCTGGTCACAGCACAGCGCTGTGGTGGTACAGAGCAGCCGAGCCCCCGGAGAACCAGCGGCCACCGCAGCCATCCTGCCCCTGGCCCCGTTGTCACGGGCTGTGATGGCACCAGGCAGAAGGGATGCGAGCCGCGGGCGGGGGGCAGTGGGAACGTGTGCCACAGCCCAGGCTGCTCTCTGCAAGGCCACGGCCGGACACCATCAGCTGGTGCTGCAGCTCGGGGGCAGCGGGGACGGCCCCCGGCTGCGAGAGGAGCGCCGCAGGAGGAGCGCAGAGGCCTGTGAGCTCAGCATGGGTAAGGAGGGCACTGCTGCACCGGGCAGCAGCCACGGGAGCCTCTGTACCCACCCTACTTGGCCCCGGCTCACACGCCGTCCCACAGGGCTGCGGCGGACGCTGCTGGCGGGGCTGCGGCAGGACCCGGCCAGCCCTCGGGAGCGGCAGGAGCTGGAGCGGCTCTGGGTGCTCTTCCTCTCCGCCCTGGAGCTCTTCCTGCAGGACCTGTACAGAGCCCAGCATCTCTGCCAGCTCTTCTCCGTGCAAGGGGGTGGTGTGGCCCCGCTGCGCACTGGGCTGGGGGGCTGGGTGCTGCCCAGCCGGAGAGGAGGGGGTCCCACACAGCCCCCCAGCACCCAGAGCTTGGAGGAGGAGATCGAGCAGGTGAGGGCCACGCTGGCAGAGATGGAGAGCGGAGCCAACATTCCACCATGGACAGTGGAAGCCACAGAGACCACACAGCCGGCAGAGACAAGCGGCACCGCAGAGAGAGCGGCCTGGGGAGGCGCCTGTGCTGGGCACTGCTGTGGGGTGCTGTGAGCTAGGGGGGCAGGAGAGGTGGCACCCCTGTCACAGAGCAGGGGACAGAGGTACCCCTACAGATCTCAACCCCTGCCCATACAGGTGATGGTGGGAGCTGCTCCTGTAGACAAAATGGGATCACTGCAGTCCCCCAAATACTGATAAACTCCTGTTACCCTACAGGGGTCACTATCCCTTCCACCCTTCCTGCCCACACTTGCAGAGGGTCCTCTAGGCACTCAGAGTATGCTAGAGCTGCCACAGAATCCCCTGCAGAAGTTATAAACCTGCATTTATTCATTTATTTATACATTAACCGTGGCTCGGACTGCAACATTAATTTAAAAACAGCCTATGATACAGAAGGCAGGGGATGGCCGGGAGGGAGGGAGGGAAGGGGTGGGCTGAGGGGCCGTGGTGATGGTCAGGTCTCCTGGCTCTTGGTCTGCTTGCTGTACGTCTCCCGCACATACTTCTTGTAGGCTGAGGAGAGAGGGGGAATATGACACCACCTGAGGCAGTGGCCAGGGCAGCTGTGGGGTCAGACAGGCACTGGGGGCTGTGCTGCTGCTCATCCCACTGGGGAGGGAGCAGGAGGGTTCTGCTTCAGGCACTCACCAACTTGGTTCTTCCAGAGCTCGGCTGCATGTGTGTTCAGAGGGCTCTCGATGTTTGGCTCTGCAAACAGTGGCTGGGTCAGCTGGTGAGGGGTGACCTGGACACCCCTGAGCCCTGATCTGGGTTGGACAGCCCCACCACCATCACCATCCCCTCCCTCAGCTCTCCCAGCAGCTTGTCCACGAGACCCACCTGCCAGCAGGCTCTGTATGGAGAGCAGGATTGTGCGGACATCATACAGCGCTGACCACTTTTCCTTGAGGATGTCGAGGCAGATGTTGCCCTGGGTGTCGACGTTGGGGTGGAAGCAGGGGGTCAGGAACCGCACGGTGGGTGCTGTGTAGGGGTACCCGCTGGGGAACTCCAGCGACAGCTTGTACCGCAGCTCCTCGTAGGCCTGGGGTGGGACAGGAGTCAGGGGGGGCTGTAGCCGCAGAGGTGCGGGGAAGAAGAGGAACAGGGGCAGTGGAGGGCTGGGACCACCCTCAGCCGAAGAGAGGAGGCTGGGGCAGGGGCAGGCCCCCCCAGACCGGGATCGCGCCTCTCACCGTCCCGGCGGCGCCGTCAATGGTCCCGATCCACTTGAAGAGGTTGTCGGACTCGGGGAAGGCGGAAATGCCTTTGTCACCGGACATCTGCGGGGACAGCGCGTTAGGGCGGCCCCGGACATCCCCCACCCCACCCCGGTTCAGCCCCAGGTGCCTTTGGGGACCCTCAACCCCCGGCTTGGCCTCAGGATCCCCAAATCCC